AAAAAAAAAAAAAAAAAAAAAAAAGACAGACAGACAGACAGATATCATCAAACAATAACAATGCCAAAGATACAAATTCTTGGAAAAAAAAAACAAAGATACAAATTCATCTTTGCATCTAACTGCAGATGCAAATCACCACCAAAGAAAATCCCCTTTTTAGCCTACTCATCAATAATCATCAAATCAAACACACCTTCAAATTTAATCTTCACATAAAGATTAAAAAAACAACACAAGAAAACCACAACGCAAGTCCATGTCAGCACTACCAAGTTACACATGCTCACAAACACAAACAAACAATCATCCTAACAACAGCAAATTGGGCACACAATCAACCCATTCTCATTGCACTTCCCGCACTTAACATTCTTCCTCCCATCATCCCCCGAAGCAAAACCCCCAATTCTCCACCCCATCGATCCTCGCCACCTCATCCGACCCGCCAATCAATCTCCTCCTCACGAACACTAACGACACCCGAACCTCCTTCGAGCCACCAGCCCCCTAAGCTCCTCCTTAAAGCCCAAGTCTATAGATATGTCCCGTTCGAGCACCTTCACGCCGCATTGTAGTCCTCGAAAGTCTCTCGTATGCCCTCAAAGTATTTGTGTATAGAACAATTGCGATCTGGCCACCGTGCGGGCACTTTCACTTGTAAGACTCGAGAAAAGCTTCCGATTCGCGTAAATCTTTCGACTTTTTTGGGCTTTGATTCTCCAAAGTCATTTTCTTGATCTCTTCTTCCTCTTCGGATACCTTCCTTTCAAACTCGGCCAAGACTTCCGGGGTCGAACAACGGGTTAAGAGTCCTCCTTCCGGACAAGAACCTCAAACTCTCTGATCTTTTAACACTCGAGCTACCTTATATCGAGGCCCACAGTCTAGGAGACGGCTTCTTCGTGCCCTCGTTCGAGCGGCCTTTATTCTCCTTGCCCGAGATTTTCTTTGCCTTTCTCGGGACCCCACTTGGCTCAAGAACTTCATCGGGCTTCTGGGCTCGATTCTAGTTAGGCTGCGGGTTAAAGCCCCGACTTTAGGCTTTTTCGGCCCGGAATTATTTTGCCCTCGAGGCCCGCAATAAGCTCCCACGCGTTGATGATCTCTGATGGAGGATCGCAGAAAGGCGACATTTTGCGGGCCTCATTAGAAATCCAGCTATTCGTTTATCTGAAGAGACTAATTTCAAGAAGATTGCCATAAACCTAATGTAACATCTGTAACCGGAAGTAGTAGAATCAATCATTTTTCAAGAGCCTCTAGAGCCGAAACACACTAGAAATTAAATCAACAAATTGCCATATATTTATTTTAATATATGAGTCATTAAATAAGTGGGTAAGACTATTAAATTGGTGTTTAAAACATTCATACAATGAAAACCAGAAAATACAGAACCAAAGACCCAAAGTTGGAAAGCAACAGATACAACCAAAGCAAACGATCTAAACAGTAAACAGCTAATAAAAACCCAAGAACTACGCACCCACACTACAAGTCACCAACTTGTTCAAAAGAAGAAACTTAACTCGCTCACTACTACTTCACTTGCGCGGCACCGTGAAGTTGATCCAACAGCCGAGGGTGACGGCCAAGAGCAGCCAAGCTACAACCACCCACCAGAAGAGATCCCATCCGAATCGGGTGGACCACTTGAGGGTGGACGCCAATTTTCCAGCTCTTTTCTTGGCGTTGGACCTGCTCTCCTCCCCGTTGATGTACGCATTGAGGTTGAAGTCGGGAATGTTGTTGGCAGCCGTGTCCCGAGCTGTGTCGGCAATCTTCTGTGCATCGTCGGCCCTTTTTTGAGCAGCAACGGCTTTTCGCTGAGCTGCGGCACTCTTTATCTGGGCCTCGGTGGGGATGGGGATGGGGATGGGGATGGGGTTGGCCTTTCCCTCCTCCACAGCTGTATCATCGTCGGGGACGTCCACAATTGAATCATCCTTGGGGACCTCCTCCATAGGCGGTATATCAATCTCAGCAGCTTCAGTGGTAGTGGGGATGGCTTTCTTAGCTTCAGTGGTGGTGGGGAGGGCTATAAGAGCTTCATCGAGAGCAATCTCAAGAAGGGCATCGGCAAATCGAGCGGCGTCGGCCGTGAGGACAGCCTCCTCGATAAAAGAAGCTACAACCACAAGGTCGGCAGCATCCCCCGTAACTGGTTCGGTGGGGCGGCTGTCCAGCTTGCCGTTTACCAGCGCATTGCACCAATTTGCGGCAAGACGGAGATTGTGAGTCTCCATACCCACCGTGTAGGCATCCCACTCCATGTGAGCCACCAGCCTTCTTGTTGTTAGGATTACGATGAGCAACATTAGCATGTATGTGATGGTGACGAGTGCAGTAATCACATACCCATGGACCTTGTTGTGGAGATAGTATCCAATGAAAAGTCCCGCGGCCATCATTGTCACACATACAGAAGTGCACTGAACAAAGAAACTCACGAACTCCTGGTATTTAGCCAGGAGCTTGGTTTGTTTCTCCATCAGTGTCTTCCTTTCATCTTTAAGAGCATTTAGAGCAGTAGTGAGGTGACTTCCAATCATCAGTGGAAGTGGAGGCGGTGGCTCAACGGCCTGGATCTGGGGCACATCGGCGTGGGCTTGGGGCTGAGATGTAGAAGACATAAATATAAGTGTTAATACTATTAAATAGCCATAAAGTTTTACAAAACACAAATTTTAGCCACCTTTTGTAAAAGACATCTTTTTTAGCCATTTTAGCATGTGCTTTTACTACATTACCCTTAACTCAATTTTACATCTACACAATTTGTGTTCCCCTAAATCAATTCCTTTCAATCTTCAAAAAATTTCAACCGCCGCTCTGCACTTCATTTTCACGAAATTCATCTCACGACCGAGGCACAACCGTACACTCCTCTCCGGCGATTTTTCTCGTCGTTAACCTGACGCCGTGCTGCTCCTCTCATCACCCGACGCAGATCCTCTCCGTTCACTTCCCCCCTTCCCCCCATCGCTGCTCCTCTCCTCATCCGACGCACCAGCGCTGCTCCCGCACCACCGATCGAGCCGGCTTCCCGAGTTCACGACGTCCATGGCGGCTGAGCCTCCACTTCACCTACCTAGATCTGTTCGACTTTCAAAGCCAAAGTTCCTCAAGGTGCGGTTATTTAGTTTAGGGCTTGATTAGGGTTTTTATCTTCTTTTTCTTCATTAATAGTATTGACGTTTTTTGTCGAAATTCATGAGAAGGTACTGAATTAGGTTTTTAGTCTCAACACATCAAGTTTCTTATCTACAAAGCCTTTTCATTTATTTTACTGTACTAGGTTGTTTTATATGATGCTAATACTATCTACTCTACATTGAAGGTAGTTGTTAATAAGATGTGGGCGTCCTATTGAGGAAATATTTTGGATGATATACCCAAAAATTCTTTATTTGTTTCGATTATTTTTTCTTGAATTTACTGTTTACAGGGAACAAAATTGTTGTTATCGAGAACGTTGGTGCGACTGAGGTGTTGTTTAACCCTATATGTATAATGTTTGTTCCTTCTTTTTTCGCTTCTGACAGAGAGTTGGCTGGTGCACCTTTTTTGTTATTTGTTAAAGTTCTCTGTTTGTTTATGAATCTGTGGGCTGCATTACTTTTACCTGTTGATGTGGAAAATTTCTGAAGATTGTAACTTTTATATTCTTCTGTTTTGCTCATTAATTGTGAGTTGCAGGACCAGTTTGACACCATCGATTTATCCGACAACGAGATTGTGAAGCTCGAAAACTTTCCCTCCTTAAATCGCCTAGGAACTTTGTTTCTGAATAACAACATAATTACTCGCATCAATCCCAATCTTGGAGGTCTCGATCTAGTATATTGATTTTCATTAATAGTTTCCGATATTGACATGGTTTGGCTGACTTGTTGTTGGTTGGGATGAATGCAGAATTTTTGCCCAAACTGCACACTTTGGTACTCACTAACAATAGGCTAACGAACCTGGTTGAAATCGATCCTCTTGCATCTCTCCCGAAGCTGCAGTTTCTCAGTCTGCTTGACAACAACATCACGAAGAAACCTAATTATCAGTTATATGTTATCCACAAGTTGAAGTCTCTGCGCGTTCTAGATTTCAGGAAAGTCAAACAGAAGGTAAGTGACCAAATCTGTTCTTTTATGTCTTCTGTTGTCATTTAAATGCTGCGAAATGGCATGGTTAAGGCATCACTGTAATGCCTCACTCTCCTGTGTGATATTGTTTAACTAGTATTGTATTGTGTGCTTTGTGATCCAAGAAATTCAGTTATGCATTTGGTGCTATTGTAATAGGATGCTATCGCCCTATGCGTTTTGCTGTTTCTATCTTTCTTCGTCGTCAATACTTCCCATTAGGCAAATTGTATAGCAAAATTTAGTGTTATGTACAAGAATTGTGTTCTCTTTTAAGTTTATGCCAGTTTGGGAATCACCAAAATTAATATTTTTGGTTGTTTCTTGTATATATCGTTGTGGTCCTGTGGATGTTCTTTTTGTATGATATTGGTACCTTCAAAATAAAGTGTTAAGCAAAACCGAAGTCTCTATTTTGACCATATGCTTTTTTCTTTGTGGCAGCTTGGCAATAATGGATCCAATTTGATTGAGGAAGAACATGAGTCACATACTATATCTGCTTGGAAAGAAGCAAAGTCTTATCT